ATCTCATTTCCCTTTGGGGTTGCTGTAGGTGATCTGGAAGTCTGGTTTTGAGACTTATTTATGTGTCTTCTTATTTCAACCCTCGGGGGATGGGGTGCTATTGGCGCCCGCACAGCTCACCTTTTCTGAGCTGGGAGCAGTGGGACAGTGTCTCAGAAGCCCCTTCCTCTGGGCTGGGAGTGGCAGGAGGGCTGGTGGCCCAGAATCCCCTTCCTCTGGCCTGGGAGCAGTGAGAGGAATGGTGGCCTGAAATCCCCTTCCTCCAGGCCGGGAGCTGTGCAATGGAGGGCTCCCCAGAAGCCCCTACCTCTGGGCAGGGTGCAGTGGGAGGGATAGCACCCAGGAAGCCCCTTCCTCTTGGCCAGGAGCAGCCGGATGTACACTGGCCCGGTAGCCCTTTCCTCTAAGCCAGGAGTGGTGGGATGGTGGCTCAGAAGCCCCTACTTCTGGGCCAGGAGCAGCCGGATGCCCTTCTGAATCTCTTGAAGTTTTGCTGTGCATTACCTACTTACTTATAGCAGTGTTTTTCAGATGTGTCCTATTGTTCTCATTCCTGTGTTACTTTTCACATCAAATTCTCATCTTAAACTAAGGTCTCCTAACTCAACTTTCCTACCTTTTGTTTCTTTCCCTTTTATCAGCTCAGGGATCTTTTTAAAAATATGTTTGAATTGCCACTCCCATTCCTTGTAGATATCAACATCTCTGTTGATTCTTAATTAAGTGTGACTTATTAGGGCCTTGATTAGCATATAATCTCTCTGCTGTACCCTCCCACTATTCATATCCTGAATAAAACTACTTGGATCTCTAAGAGGCTAAAATCTCTCTTTCTACTCTTTCTTCTACCTGGAAAATGTGTTTTTTCCATTGACTACCAACTCATCCTTCAGCATGTGGCCCAGAACTCACCTTGAATGGTACCACCCTGACCCCCTCAAACAACACTGTATACTCTCTCTCCAGTGCTTTCTTATACATTTATAAAGATTAGGAGTTGAATTGTGTGAATAAATAATAGTGTTTAATAGTATTACAGTTACTGTGTATAGGCTTAAGTAAAAGGCTTTCATTTTCCTAATGTAAATGTAAAACTTAAAAATGTATAAAGTAGTCAAATATCTACTGAAATATTTAATTATTAACTTAATTATGCATAAATGCTTAAAATAATGTATTATACAAAATAATGTTTTAATTTTGAAGTAGTGTCATTCTCACAGTTTTATAGAGACTCTTCACATGAGCTTGTATTGTTTCTCATTAACACATTTTTGAGCAGCAAGCATGCCAGAATACACCATCTTCACATCTATTTGTTTTAGATATAGTACTTTTAAAACTTGTGCATAATGCTGTCCTTTGAAATTTTCCACAAGCCATAAGAACCCAGTTGTCTTAGGAGTCTTCTAATCCAATACACAGATATATAATCAATGACCTCCTTAAAGCTACTATTCATAGTACTGTTTTTCAAACTGATCTTTAATATGCTTTTTCCAAAGAAAACCTATGCTTTGTGTTTTGCGTACTCCCAGAAATAATGACTAAGTCTTTTAAATTTATTTGCCCCTTTTGTAGTAATCCTAACGTATTTGCTTTTGAAGCATCCAAACTCGACTACTGTTATTTCTTTCCAAAACAATACGATATTATTCAAAAAAGTGAAAAAGTAATTTAAAATTTTCCACTTCCTGTAGTGGTGGACTGAGTCACTCAAGAATTTTTTTTTGGAGATAGGCTCTTGCCATGTTGTTAAACTGGCTTTGAGCTCACTATGTAGCTTAGGCTGTCCTTGAACTCTCAGCAATCCTCCTGCCTCAGCCTCCTGAGTGCTAGGATTACAGGCATATACCACCATGCCTGAAAGTCAAGAAATTTGATTTTTCTATTCAAATTTTTGTCCAAGACAGAGTGCATGGCCAAGCCTGAACCCTAAGGCTCAGGGAACTTTATCTTCTCACAATGAAAAGCTTCCAGTATTTCAAAGAGTAATAAAATCCAGTGATTCTGATCTACTGAAGCTCTCAACAACTTAAGAAAGTCAATATTCTCTTTGGAGGCTAGCCTCACTCTAGACCTCAAATAACTCTACAAATGTCCAACAAAGAGTTAGGTATGTGAGGAGACAAGAAACTATACGTAGCAGCTAGAAGAAATAATAGACAATACAGACAGACCTACAGGAGCTCCAACTATTGGGCTTATCAGAAACAAACTTTAAACGAACTATTTATAATATTCAGGGATATAAAAGTCAAGCTTTGATTTCAGCTGGGAACAATAAGGAATGAAATAACAAATCTGGAGTTGAACTGTGTAGGAATTCAAGAACTATGATTTATAACAACCAAAATTATGAATTCATTGAATGGTTTTAGCATTAGACCAGACACACTTGAAGAATGAATTGTCAAAGTGGAAGACAAATGAGAAGAAAATAATCAAAACACAATGTAGAAAATATAGAAAAGATAGAAAACACAGAAGAGAAAAATAAGAGATAAAGAGAATATAATGGAGTACAGTAATTGAACTCCCAGAAAAATGATTAAAAAATAGTCAATAGTTGAAATTACCAGTGCTTATGAAAAATGTCTCAGATTTAAGAGTCCCTAAAGAATTCTGGGCATGATATATTTTTGAAATCCTTACCTAGCCACATCATGGTGAAACTGTAGAAACCTAATGATGACTAGAACCTGGTAAAGCAGCTAGAGAAACGGGGTCTTTTTTTTTTGGTACTGGGGATC